GGGCGGGCGAAAAAAAGCCATGGAGAGAAGAGGGGCAGTTGTGATGGATCTAATTTGATCTAGAACTACAGTCAGGAAGAGTAAGTTCACACTAAATGTGAAAAAGAAAAATGTGTCTTGATAGATCAGAGCAAGATATACAGGAAGGGAATGAAAAGGATATGCCATTTGAAGTGATACCCCTTGGTACCTCAAGAGAAGAAAAAAATTAAAATTCTGAAAGTACTGTGTGTGGAGTAAAGAAATAGCAGACACTAATACCTAGAGAGGTCAAATAATAAAAGAAAATTTGTATTTTAATGGTTTAAAAAAATAAAAATCTTAAAGATTAGAACAAGAGAAAGAAGAAAAATAGGCAAAATCAAGCAAAGAGTGAGGTTCTTCACTGAGTTTGGCTCGCTCCAATCCCCACCTGAGAATAATATTCTATTAAATCTCACCCAGAGTTATGCGGTTGAGGGTGAGTTCATTTTCTTGGTGTCAATCACATTTTAAAGATGCATCTCTTTCAAAAGAAAACTTAAATTAAAAGTACAGGCATTAAGGGGCCAGCCCAGTGGCGTAGTGGTTAAGTTCGTGGCTCCACTTCGGTGGCAGGGTTCGCGGGTTCAGATCCCGGGTGCACACCTGCACACCGCTCATCAAGCCATGCTGTGGCAGCATTGTATGTGGATGTCAGCATCCACATACAAAATAGAGGAAGACTGGCACAAATATTAGCACAGGGACAATTTTCTTCAAGCAAAAAGAGGAGGATTGGCAACAGATGTTAGGTCAGGGCCATTCTTCCTCACCAAAAAAAAACCAAACCAAACAAAACAAAAAGTACAGGCATTAAGCAGCAGACACTGAGTTTTTCCTTTCTCACTTCTTCATTTCTCCTACTCATTTTTTACACCAAAAGCCCAAAATACCTCCAGGGAGTCTTGGGTGAAGGGTAATAAAACTTGTGCCTGCCACATTGATAGCTGAAAATTATAAAAGTGGGTGCCCAGCTAAGAACCGCTCTCTTTCATGGGGATCTGAGTGTAGGGAGAAGGGCCATGGAGTCCCAGAGAACAGGCTAGTCTTAATATGGTCTCATGATAAGCTATTTTCCCCTTGAGTTAGGCCTCAACTCTTAGTAAAGTCCATTTTGAAATTTCAACTGAGACAAGATCAAGCAAAAGAGTAACCTTTTCGTGGCTTGAGTCAGAGTAATAAAAGTAGAGATGCATATTCATGAGGAACACAGTGGGGTCTTCTTGTCTACACATGGAGAAAGTCTGTCCAAGAAGAAAGCCATGTAGAACCAAGCACATTCAAGAAATTGAAAGAGAGAGACACAACCTCTGTGACCCCTTGGATCCAATCAAATCTGAAGCAAAATGCATCCCTGTACTTCCCAGTTTATTTCACTTACAATCAAAAGTAATTATTTTATTGTAATGAAAAGGCTTTTAATTAATACGTGTCACTACTGTACCTTGCACAAACTCCTATGGTAGCACTTACTCCCTTTTTTCTGCATAGCATTGGAGGAGAAATTAATTTTACGTTAGGAAAGATCTGTGCTTAAAACCTGGCTCTGCCATTAGTTGTTGTGATTTTGGCAATATTATCTAACCTCAGTGTTGGTTTCTTCATATGTAAAACAGAGATACCTTACTCAGATAGTCATGAAAATTATAAAGGATAAGTTAATAAAAGAGTTTAGTACTGTGACTAGCACCGGTTGCATATAAATTGTACAATTCTCAGTTTCTTTTCTTGCTTCTCTAATTAGACTGAGAAAACTGAAGGGCAGGATCTGCATCTTATTTGTGTTCAAAGTGTCTTGCCCTCTAGAAGTTTACAGTATGAGGGTACACAGGTAAACAGATGTATATAAATGAGAGCTCGCACAAGATGCCTCAGCAGCATACAGACACGGCGCTTTAGTGCTGGGAGTGGGGACAGAGGAGGAAGAGGTCAGAATAGATATTCTATCAGAAATAATGACAGAACCTGGAGAATGAGTAAGTGGTGTCCAAGTGAACAATAAGGAGAAGACTTTTCAGGCAGATGAAACAACATGGAGCGAAGAAATCATCAGAATGCGTGAGAGGAACTTCAGGCTCTTCAGTATTACTAGAGAGTAAAATTCAAGGAGTGGAGACATGGGAGATAAGCTGTGGACATCAAAATTTGGGGAGCAGATGCCAGAAGGTTTTCTCTGACAGGCTGAGGGCTTTGCGCTTGTGGTGAGAGAAGCTGAAGAGTTTTAAGTGAGAGAATATTGTGTTTTCTGTAGCTAATTCTATACAAAGTGTGTGAAGAAGAGATTTCCAGGCTGTTTTGTTTGACTCAGATTAGTGTCACTTGCAATGAAAAGTTAAAACCAAGCTCCCCAATGACTTTTTCTCTTGTATAATCTCCTCTTCTTGGAGTGTGGGTGGACCCTGCAAATATAATGAGATCCACTCTAGTGATTGTGCTATGTTATAAGGTACAGTTGACCTTAAATTAGGGAGATTATCAAGGCAGGGATAATGTAATCACGGGAGCATTTAAAAAGCAGAGTTGTTTCTCAAGCTAATGAGGACGGGGAAGTCAGAGAGTTCCAGTGCAAGAAGAATTCACCGTGCTGTTTATGGCTGAGTTGACGACAAGGGGGCCACACGTGAGGAATGCAGGCAGCCTCCAGAAGCTGAGAGTGATCCCCAGTTGACAGCTAGCAAGGAAATGGAGATCTCAGTTCTACAATCACAAAGAATTGAATTCTGCTAACAACCTGAATGAGCTTGGAAGCAGATTCTTCCCCAGAGCCTCCAGAAGGGAAGGCAACCCTGTCTACACTCTATTTTGGCCTGGCCAGAGATGCCAACCATGCCATTCCACACCAGACTTCTAACTCACAGAACTATGACTAATAAATGGGTGTTCTTTTGAGTTTAAGGCAATTTGATATACATCAATAAATAGCTAATATAAGGGTATTGGTAAGATCCAAGTTAGGCAAACTTTTAGAGTACAGTCACACACCACATATCAATGTTTCAGTCAATGACAGACTGCATATACAGTCCCATAAGATTAGTACCGTATAGCCTAGGTGTGTAGTAGGCTATACCGTGTAGGTTTGTGTAAGTACACTCTATGATGTTTGCACAGGACGAAATTGCCTAATGACACATGTCTCAGAATGTATCCCTGTTGTTAAGTGACACATGACTGTGTTCCAGACAAGGTAAGAGAGCTTACTTTGGGATTTAAGGATATAGAATAATGTAAACTTTGAAGATCAGTAATGGTTAGTGAGAAGGAGGAGCCCAGAATGACAACCTGTTTCTAGGTTAGCTAACTAGATAGAGGATGGTGCTGTTAACTTAGAAAAGAACAATGAGAGGAGAAACAGTTCTGAGACCACCAGGACATGCTGAATTCAATTTGATGGGGGATGTCTAGTAAATAGTTGGATAGAGAATTGTGAACTTAGCAAAGAGGCGCATGCTATAGATATAGATGAGGACAGGGAAGAAAGAAACCTAATACTTACTTAGCACTTAACCAAATGCCAAGAAATGCTCTAAGTGCCTTAGAGGTTATAAGGCATTTAATCCTCAAAGCAGTCCTAGGAAGTAAGAATTATTATTAAACTCATATGTAGATGAAGCAAAAAGGCTCAGAGAGATTAAGCAACTTGTCCAAGATCACACGTGTAGTAAGTGGTGGAATTTGAATGCAAGTTTAATCAATCTGACTCCAGAGCCCATTCTCTTAACATGTGTCTGTTACAATTCTCTGTAGATGTGAAAGACAACAAAAGATGGATATTATTACAGCTATGACATATACTATATCAATCACAGGAAAATGTAAAAAAGGTGTTGAAAGTAGCAAATGACTGTGTCCCTGAACACACTTGCTTTAGAATGGAGCGAGAGCTCTGGAGGATGACTCGGAACACAAAGGAGGCTACCAGCTCCCTGCACAGAGGATTCGAAATTCTTAATGTGAACTGGTACTTGGATAAGAACATTGAATCCTACGGGAACCAATGTTATAACTCCTTGACAAAGGATGTAAACACAGGCTCCATAATTTCTTCCCTCAGGAACCTGATCAAACTTTCATCCTGAATGAGGCATGTTTTCCAAGCTTCCAAACAAGTTGTTGAGATCCACAGAGAATAAGATAAATTCACAGTATTAGCCAGTTGGTGATTTGGAGACATAAAGTCGATGCAATTGCCTTCTCAGGAAGACATATGCAAATCCTCAAACAGAAGGAATATCACCTCATTTGTTATCTAAACCTTTGTTTCCTTCAGGACAGTGAAGGGAAAAGAACATTTAAGGTCTGGTAGTAGTGAGGTCTCCAAGCAGAAGGAAGTTGGGTGGCTGAGACTTCTTTGTTCTGATGTTTTCATTCCCACAGCTACAGAAGTGGTGAGGTGTGGGGAGGCTACTTGTCCTTCCTAACAATTCATTGTGATTTTGAGGTAAGATTGGATGAAGGGAATGGGTAGGAGGAATGCAGGACACTAGGGGATACTTTCAGCACTTTCTCGAAGCCAGGTACTGAGTTTCTGAAAGGTAAGAGGCAGAGAATGGGTTGAGCAACAAGCACAGTGGGGATCACAGTGACTTCACTATCTCAAAGCTTCAGGTATTTCCATAGGAAGTGGTTCCAAGTACAACTCTTGTCTCCTTTGCTCTCTTGCTAAATGACCTTGGCAAGCCTATGAATCTCTTCAAGATATTGTTTCCTTACCTCAAATGTGGACATCACTTTTGGTGACCATCCAAAAAGACTGCATCCTGAATTGTGTCAGCCCATTGGAGGTGAGGAGTTACAAGTTGAGATTTTAACACATGGAAGGAAAGGACAAATGAGAGAAGAAAGTTCAAAGATAAGGAGTCATTGCTCTGGCTCTTCTTCCAGAGTGCTGTCCCAGTGGTCACACTTGAGCCCAATAGAACAAGTCCTCACTCTAGCAACAAATGATCTGAGTCTTATCCTAATGTGACATTCTTCTCATTTCCTCACAGAACACACCCCTGCAGATAATGGCTATGGAAAATGACTCTTCAGTGACTGAGTTCATCCTGGTAGGATTTACAGACCAACCTCAACTCCGGTTACCCTTCTTCTTCCTTTTCTTATTACATTATGTGGTCACTGTGGTAGCGAATTTGAGCTTAATTAATCTAATATGCCTGAATTCTCACCTTCACACTCCCATGTACTTTTTCATCTTCAACCTGTCCTTCATAGATCTCTGTCACTCTTTGGTCATTACCCCTAAAATACTAATGAGCTTTGTGTCAAAGAAGAGCATCATCTCCTTTGCAGGATGTATGACTCAGCTGTTTTTTTTCTGTTTCTTTGTCCATTCTGAGTGCTATGTGTTGACAGCCATGGCATATGATCGCTATGTGGCCATCTGTAAGCCCCTGCTGTACACGGTCACCATGTCCCCTCAGGTTTGTTCTCTGTTGATGTTTGGTTCATATGTGATGGGGTCTGCTGGTGCCATGGTGCACACAGGGGACATGGTCAGATTGTCTTTTTGTGATTCCAACATCATCAACCATTACATGTGTGACATCTTCCCCCTCCTCCAGCTTTCTTGCAGCAGCACCTATGCCAGTGAGTTGGTGGATTCCATTATTGTGAGCACAGTTGTAATAATATCCAGCTTCATTATTTTCATTTCTTATGCTTTGATCCTCTCAAATATCCTCCACATCTCATCAGCCCAGGGTTGGTCCAAATCCTTCAGCACCTGTGGCTCCCACATAATTACTGTTGCCCTATTCTATGGTTCTGGGTTGTTCACACATCTCAAGACCTCTTCTGCTGGTTCCGTGGACCAGAGGAAGTTCTTCTCAGTATTTTATACCAATATAGTGCCCATGTTGAACCCCCTCATCTATAGTCTAAGGAACAAGGATGTCAAACTTGCTCTGAAGAAAACCCTGAAGAGAATTGCAAACTAAGCAGAACCAGTGTTCCTGTGTTGTTGCCGTGTGTGTGTATGTTGTGTGTGTGTGTGTTTGTATATGTGTAAGTATGTTTCCCCATAATTTTCTTCAGAACAAAGTTTTTGCTTTAAATACTTTTTTCTCTCTAAGCATATCATTTAATCATGCAGACACCTTATTGAGTGTCTTATTGAGTCTCATCATGATTCTCAGTTCTATGCTTGCTCACTGAACTGAGCTTCATTCTTAACAGCAGGCTCCAGAGACACAGCCTGATTCCTACTCCTTTTTAGACCACCTCCCACTTGCCTCTTTTCATGTACTTTTCATACATAAGCAAACATTATAGTGAAACACTGTCTGATGAGGTCACCCTCTTGTTTTCCCTAAAAACAATCATATATGGCCCTTTCTGTTGTTAAGCATTTGAGGAATTTCTACTATTTTACAATAGATTAGACTATAAAGTTAAAAATTTTCCAGAATTTCAGAGTTCTTTTAGTCATGGTTTCTAAACATAGTTTCTTAACTCATAGATGAGATAGAGAAAGATAACTTGTTGAGCCTTTGCTTTGTTTTTTTTAATTATTCCTGAGGATGGGTAAGAATGAGTGAGGGTCACCAACCTGCCCACCTTCTTCAAACTCACCAACAATGAAAATTACAGACATTTCTTGAGAAACGTGGCTATGTTTCATAGCATTGAGAAAATATAATAGAAAAGAAGATTGCTGCTGTCCTGTCTGCTGATCAGCTTTTTTCTCTGAACATGTTTATAATTCCTGAACAATACTTTGAGATCCATAAGTGAATCAAATAAAATTCACAGCTTAGTGAGTGTCCTTGGTTTCAAAATAAAGTGTCAGATTCAATATGAGGCTTCTCTGCCCAGATGTACAAAAAGAATTCCCCTTTGCAAAGTTGGGAAGCCTTTCTAGTTCTGTTCAAGATGTAAAAGCAAGAATGGGCAGAATCTTGTCACGGAGGGCTTTATGCTTTCAATTCGTAACTTTCACTTTGGAGAAGATAGAATTAACATTTGTTGATTTCTTGCCAGGAGTGTCACTTTTTAAATATTATTATAATGTAAGTCTTAATGTCTTGTTTTATAGATGGAGAAACTGAGATTCAGAGATTCACCTTAAGGTCACACAATTAGTTCATAGCGGAGCCCAGATTTGTACCCAAGTCGTCTAACCTCAAACCCTGTCCTTTCCACGTTATCGCTTTGCCTCTCAGGATGGAATTGAAAAAAATAGGAAGTATTAGAGACGGGAGATAAAAATCTGGAGAATTATTTTAGAATCAGCCTGAAAGTGAGGGTAGGAATGAAACCCTTAGCCAAAAATCACTGTACTGAAAGGATGGCCCATAAGTGCTTGAACACCAAACTGGAGAAATGCTTATGCTTCCAGAAATATTTAATCTGACTTTTTATAATAATATGTATAACATAGTATAATGTTGATGATGCTTGATGGAATCTCCATGAATATTTTAAAAATGAGACAACTAATTATTATGATATTTTACATTTGGAAAAAGAAAAAAGCTAGTATTTTCATAATGCAAAATATCAAAAATAGAGTTCCAAATTTCTTGTTTTGTATGTATACAGAGATACAACACTAAGTTTTTTTCTTCAGTGGTTCTCAATGGGGCCAAAGAGAGACACTCCCTGAGGTGCTGCCTCAAGGACTGTGGGAAGCTCAACAAAGGCTCAGTGGTACCTGTGAGATATTTATGCTTAGTCAAGAGGAATCACAAGGATTAGCTTATAAGAATAAGTATAGGATATGTTAATACAAGTTAGGAACTGAGAGATGAAGCTAATTAATTTAAGTTAATTTAATATATCTTTTATAATAGCATTGGAGATATGATCTATAATATGTGTGTGTGTATGTGTGTATATATATGACTGTCATAATTTTGTTTACGTTTCTGTCTAATCAAGTAGAATTTTACCATCTGGTGTTCACATCTTCCTTCTTTCTCCTACACATGCTTAGACTAGAATCTTGCAAAATACATATTCATGAAACTAATAGCTTAAACGTGTTTGATAAAAATTTTGTGCTAAGGCAAATTAAAAGTTTGAGTTAATAAAAACTTCCCTTTCAGAAAATTAGCTTTCTTTAAATTCATACCTATAAATCTTTGACTGAAAAAAGAATCTAGTTTGACACAATAAAAAGAAGTGTCATTTTTTTCTAGTGTAACATATGTGTCTTTTAAATTGACTAATGTTTCTAAGTAAATTGCACGCCTGTTTACAAAATAACTTGTTCCACCTGAAGAACTTGGATCTCCTTTGAAACAAAAAAAGAACTGTTTGGTTTGGTTACAACATAAATTAGAAAAAACATGCAATTTTACCTTCAAAAACTAAAATGAAATAGGGTTGTGTTGCATTACTTATATGCATGAAATTGAAAACCTATCTCCAAAAAACCTCTGTCAGTAGAAGATAATAAAGTCAAGTAAATAAATTAGCTATGCATGCAAAGTGGCTGTGGCACTTTTAAAACACAAAAATTCGTGATGGTGGGTAAAATCTGTTGTCTTAGAGTGGCAGCAGAAACACAATAGAGACATCCCCTGCTATTTTGCACAGTCCTCATGCTTGGCTTCAACCATGGTGAACTGATTGCATTTCAGTTTCTTCACAAGAACTGAAAGTTGCAATACCCTAAATCTCAGGCTACGAGAATGCTAGGTATCAGATACCACACTGGGAAAACAGTCCTTCATGATTTTGTGTGTTACCTTCAAGTACCTTCTCTTCACATCTGCAGGTATATTTGGGAGGAAATTGATGTGACATTACACATAAAGTATGTACTTTTTTTCCAGCTTTATTGAGATAAAATTGACAACTAAAAAAGTGTATGAATTTAAGGTGTACATGATGATTTGATATACATATACATTGTGAAATGATTACCACAATCAGGCTAATTGACATATCCATTACCTCACGTTTTTGGAGGTGTGGTGGATGAAAATGCTTAAGGTCTACTCTCAGCGAATTTCAGGTATAGATCCCCAGAACTTATTCATCTTATAATTGAAAGTTTGTGCCCTTTGACCAACATCTCCTCATTTCCACACCTCCCCCATCCCCGGCCCTTGTAACCACCATTCTACTTTATGGTTCGGTAAGTTTGGTTTTTTAGATTCCACATATAAGTGAGATCATATAGTATTTGTCTTTTTGTGTCTGGCTTATTTCACTCAGCATGATGTCCTCAAGGTCCATCCATGTTGTTGCAAATGGCAGGATATCCTTCTTTTTATGGCTGAATAATATTCCGTTGTATATCTATATAACATATTTTCTTTATCCATTTACCCATTGATGGACACTTTGGTTGTAGTTTTGGCTATTGTGAATAATGCTTCAGTAAAATGGGAATGCAGATATCTCTTCAAGATCCTGACTTCATTTCCTTTGGATATATACCCAGAAGTGGGATTGCTGGATCATATGGTAGTTCTATTTAAAATTTTTTTAGGAACCTCCGTACTGTTTTCTATGGTGGCTGAACCAATTTACATTTCCACCAACAGTGTACAAGGGTTCCCTTTCCCCCACGTCCTCACCAACACTTGTTATATCTTGTCATTTTGATAATACCATCCTTTATAGGTCTGAGGTGACATCTCATTGTGGTTTTGATTTGCATTTCACTGATGATTGGTGATGTTGAGTATATTTCATGTACCTCTTAGTGATGTTGAGCACATTTCAATGCACCTATTGGCCATTTGTATGCCTTCTTTGGAAAAATGTCTATTCAGATCATTTGCTCATTTTTTAATCAGTTTATTTGTTTTTTTCTTGTTGAATTGCATGAGTTTCTTATACGTTTTGGATATAACCCTTTATCAGACATATGGTTTGCAAATATTTTTTTCCAATTCCGTAGGTAGCCTTTTCATTTTGTTATTTGCTTCGTTTGCTCTTGCTCTTGGTTTTCTGATCGCCTGCTGTCATGAGCATTTTTCCATGTCAGTAAATATTTCCTCCTATGAAAGCACTGTTCCTGATGCCATGCTCTCTCTTGCCTCTTAGATCTTTCACTGCTATTTCTTCTTCTTAGGACGCTGTTTCCTCTGGAAAATTTTCTTTTACCACATTCTCTTACCACCACCATCATCTCTACTTAGATTTTTCTCCTTTTCTATGTGTAAATGTAGAATTAATAATTCATTATATAAGGGAAGTATGGCTTCCTAGTATGGAGGTTCTTTTTAATTATTTAGTTTTTGAGTCCATAATGCATTCACATAGTTAAAAATTAAAAAGGTACAAAAAGGGTATACAGTGAAAAGTCTCCCTTATACTCCTGTCCCCCAGCCACCCAATTGTTCTCCCAGGAGGCAACCGTAATATCAGTTACTATCAATGCTGTCAGTGATATCTTATTTATATGTAATAAAATTCATATATATTATCCCACTGATTTTACACAAACGGTAGCATACAGTATGCACTGTTTTTTAACTTGCTTTTTATCTCATATATACTATTTCTTGAGAAAAAGCTAGAGAATGAGTAAGACTTAGGCCCCAGGGAAGAGTAAATTCAGAAGAGCAGTGAAGAGAAGCCCCAGGATGACAGCTGTGCAGCTAGCCTAGAAAGCAACCAGTCCAGACTGGAACGTGGTGGAAGAGGGTTTTCCACTTACATTTTCCACAATATATTTTGGAGATCATTTCATATTCATAAATAAAAGTAGTCTTTTTTATATACCTACTTAATATTTTTTGTACAAATGTCTGAAATTTTCTTTGATCTGTCCCTTTATGATGGATAACTAGGTTAATCCCAGTCTTTTGTTAGTACAACAAATAACCCCATACATAAATCATTAGGCATGTGTGTAAGTTCTTAGAGTACAATTATGTATTAAGTGTAAGGACATGTATATTTGTAAGTTTGATAAACATTGTCAAATTGCCCTCATTGAACCGATTTCTTTGATTCATATAAGGTTAAATTGCCTCTC